AGATGCCAGCCACAGAGACTGGTGAAACGTCAGGAAGAACAACCTTCAGAACATGGCCAAAGAGCCCAAAAAACCCACAACAACCATTAGATCCCGGCCGTGAAAGGCTTTGCGAATACATTAATGTGCATAGTTTGCCATCTCACAGAATATTGCCACATAGAACCATTTTTGCACCTTTGTTGCACACTGCATCACACTTTGCTCCAAAGAACTCCAGACAAATACCTGGTTTTCCTTTTATCACAGTATGTCTTCTTGGCAACAGTGTGAGGTAGGTAAGGTTGAAATGGGCACTGGGGCAAGTGGACTGGTAGACATAATTCAGAATGAGAATTCTAACACACGTTAACAATTAGGAGTGCGAAACACAAATTCTTTCAGATTCGCCAATCATGTGGGGTTTACAAGTGTGTCTGTGAGTGTGTCTCTGTGGGTGTATCTGATGTGATATCATTGCTGTATTAATATACAGTACTAATACTTTCTTTAAAACTTAATGATGGCTTCTTTTTATGCTGAAAATAGGAATCTTGTTTCTGGTGCCATTTTTGTTTTAAAAAAACCTACATGTGTATTTAGCTGGTGTAGCCATTATGCCAAATTTTTATGTTGTAAATAAAAAGAAGTAGTATGTATACTCAGAATATTTTTCTTGCTTTTTGCTATTTGATCATCTTGACTAAGAGCATAGAACACTGGTTTCTCTTAGTAAACAATACTACTTCTTATAAAACCACAACTCCTAGTGGTCTAAGTTATGCTCACATGTTTTAATTACAAATCTTAGTAACCTTATGTTCTCTGGCATGGTTGACATTTGAATCTATCATGGGAAGACATCAGTCATTCTATTAGAAAGAGGTCTAAATATGGACAAAACCTCTGTGGCTTCTAGTGAATCCTGACCAAACAATAAACTAGCTTTTGAATTTTGCAGAACACCTTACGGTGCTGTGCTTGATGTTGAACAAGAAAAGGAAAAGGACAGAGAAAAGGAAAAACATGATTCAAGTAGATGGCATGGTAAAAAAGCTGCCGCCATCTGAAGTTCTTCTGAGAGAGATTAGGTTGATTGCACACTGTGCAAAAAAATAAAAAGGTTTGCTTCTTATTCTAATCAGAAATCATGGGCATCACCATTAAAAAAAAATCTTTACTGACCCTTAATTGGAGCAGACTACAGTCATTTAGCAGCATGTAGCCAAAGTTCTTGAGGACTATGCTGAAAATTACGTGGAATGATTTGGGTTTCATTTAAACAGCAGTGAGATGGTATACTTTAAAAGTGCAGGCACTCATCATGACAGTTTCCATAGTTGTGCCCAAAAAGAGTAAAAAAAAAAAAAGCAGGTCGCTTTGTTGATTCTGTGGGTATGTGCATGGGTGCATGTGCACACACAGTAGCAGTATAGAACATAATACCTAATTTACTGGAATCGTAGAAAAGTGACCTGCCAAAGGACAGTGTTCCGATTAGTATGGTGGACTCAAGCTGAAGGGCCACAAGATTTCTGCTTCTAACATGGCCCCTCAGAGTTGACAATCCTATTTCAGCAGTTTTCCTCAGCTCTTTTGCTGAACTATTGTGCCGTAATTGTTTGAAGGACAAATCCTCTTCCAAATACTTTGCATTTTAACATAGAAAGCCCACAACAAGTTGCTGCTTAAGTTCCTTCATCTTTTAACTACTGTGAGGACTGCAGGGAAGATCAAAGAGAATAGAAAATGTTGAGGGGCACAGCAGGTGCCATTCTTATTCAAAAAGTTACAGCATTTTGACTAAGTGGCTGAAATCCTGTTTGTGGAGCTATACCAGGTAAGGCCAATGATGTCATTAGCTGCGGTTATTTTTCAGAAACGATCAAAAATTATCTCCCACCCTCAGAAGATCCCAGGGCTGCCATGGAAATTTGTTGTTGCCTTTGGGAGCTGTAGAAGAGAGAAGACGTCTTCAGTTTCTATGAAGGGCTATCATCCTCATGGAGATTTTTAAAAAAATTACAGTCTGCTCTCATCCTGCAAAAACTTCTCCATGACAAAAGGGAATCCAGTGGGATTTGTTTATTCCCCCAGAATGACCACAATAGATGACATCATCAGTTTTAATGAGGCATCATTTTGCAAACAGGATTTCAACCTTGGTTCCTCTACACACCACCCATTTTCAACGGGGAGGGGAGAGATATGGCCCCCCTGGCATATTTGAAGGGGGCCACAGGTTGGAAACAATTCTTCATACACCGCTCTGTCAGGTTCATTATGCGGCTTATAGAATCCTGATTCAACCTATATTTCTTTCACATTATGTTTATGGCCAAAAAAAGAGTTGAGAATGTCACCTCTACACCACTAGATTTAAAAGAGAAACATGAATTTGACTAGGAAATGGAAAGGAGAAATGTGACACTGTGGGTTTTTTTGTTGTTGTTGTTTTAGGCATAGAACACTAACACTGTTTTGTACTGAAGTCTTTTCTCACTCTGTTTTTTTTTAATTTTATTGTAGGGATATAAAGCCTGATAACATCTTGCTGGATGAGCAGGGTAAGTGCCAATTCTTTCTGGCTGTAATTATGTGTGCACACATTCAGCCACAGAGCAAAATATAGTGTGGCCTGTTAGATAGAAAACATGTTGAGGCAAAACAACAACAACAACAACTGCCCTGGGCCCTGTGTTTCTATTGAATTAAGTTTAAAATGACCTATTTCTACCGTTAACCTCATCTGTCCGCCCGCCCACTCCCTCTCTGTGTGTTTCATTTACAAATTGAAATGAATCTTCATCTGTTGACATGATGACCCAGCTTTCCATTTGCTTCCCACATAATATTGGATGGGGAGAAAGTGGAAATTTTCTCCCCATTTTTGATTTGAATAAGCAATAGCTTTTCATCATGTGTAAACCTGAACTTGAAAAGTTATTTCTAGAAACATAATTAGTTAACAGTTATACTGTAACTGATTTTTCCATAATTTTTTAAAACATTTCCTCTAGACATGTTTCCAAGATAAAAATTAGCTCCTGTCAGAGCGACGGGTTTTAAAAAGCAAATGCTTGGCTTCTGGTGTCCCAAAATAATTATTATTACAATTGCTTTTCATTCATTCATTCATTCATTCATTTTCCTGCCTTTCTTCCCGGCAGAGATCCAGGGCAGCATACATAAATGTTTAAAACCTACGATTAAAAGAAGCAAAGTGTGATGTTTGTATACTGCCCCATAGAGCTTAAAGCATTCTCTGGGACTTTACAATTTAATTATGTACGCTACACATTGATCCCCAGCAAACCAGGCACTCAATTTACCAACCCCAGAAGGAAGGAAGGCTGAATGAACCTCAAGCCTGGGAACAGAGTTTTGGCTGCAGTACTGCAGTTTAGTCGCTGTGCCACAAGGCTCCTCGTGTGCCACTTTGAATCTTACAAAAGAAGAAAGGTGAGCTATCAGTGAAGTAAAATGAAGTGGCTTAGTGTTATGTCTCAATCAAGCTTCTAAGTTTGTTCTGTTAACTCCAATCAGGCCTCCCTCCTACAAAAAAGATTTTCATATTGGATGAATTTAAGGGAGAACTGGTGCCATTCATATTAGCAAACAATTCCACGACAAGGCATCCACTCACTTGATATAATGGCTCAAAATGCTTCCGTTTTTGGACCTTGTGCAGCTCTTATGGTCAGATGGTGGTGACAGTCATAGTCTCAAGGGAGACTGCTAGAAAATGAGGGTTGTGTCTAAGGCTTTCCAATTTGAAATCTCTTTCAAATCTATTCTGGTGGCATTCAGAGATGTGGCGTCATTAGAATTTATTTGGTGTTGTCTTTCTGCTACATGCCCTTGAAATCAATGCCCTTCTGACTATTTCTTCTTTGCAATTTCTGTGTGCGTTTCTCCAACCATGACAGGAGAGATGTGTGATTCCGTTCAAGCATGCAAAGAGCCTTTTACCTGTAGCTTAGTTTTGTTTTTGTTTTTTCCTTGTGCCATTGTTTTCACGGAATCAGTATCTATCTTTAGACTGCTAAAATTGCACTTGTTTTCCAATGGCTTTCACTCCTTAGGGATGATACTTTGAACTTCTGTTCCACTTTCTTTGCATTTCTGCTAAGTCTGTGCCCAAGTGTAGGAGAATAAGAAGAGGCTTGGCCAAAGTTTAATTCAGTAGTGGGAATAACAGCCATCATGGCCAATGGACTTTTCACATTGTACACAGTACTCTTACGCTTGGTAGTTTTCAAGTTAGTTGTTCCAATATACAGTTCCAGGAGTGCACTTAGCTTCATGACCGTAGACCATTTGAATGCTGCAAATCCTAGATCTAGATTTCATAAATATTTAAGAACATCTATTTTCCCCAAGTGACATGCTGACATATGATGACATTTGTATCTTGTCAGCCTTCTGTCTCTGTGTTTTAGACCAGCTGCAAAATGTGTGTGACTTTCCTATATGAACCCCTAGTCTGACTAAAGTTCAAACACCAAAGCAATCAGCACAAACCTAAGAGAAAGAAGACACTATTTCAAAAAGTTTGAAATGGATTTAAAATACTGTAATTGTATCACCTGTACCCTGCCTTAAGCTCTTTTGATATGAGGTGGAGTATAAATATTCTAACAGACAGACAACTAGTCATTTCATAGTTCTTAAAGCTATGACTGCTCATGATTCCTTTCCCCACGTTTGCTGGAGTTTCATTCTTCACCAAACGTGTGATGAAAACTTATGCAACGTATGCAGACTTCCCACGAAGGCAACAATAGTTTTGGGATTGAGTTCCTGTAGATGTGCTAACACTATTAACTGGTGAGGTTTTACCACTGTTAAAGAGAGTGGCCCAACTCCTATCGGTATTACCTCAAGGATTGTGTATCTTGCTGCAGCTACTTGCAGTGCACTGACAATTCATTCATGTGCCTGGTCACATATGTATCTCTCTGCAGTGAAGATATTCTCTAGCACCTTTTATGTTATCCCCAAGTTATACAAACCTTACATGAACACAAGTAGGATTCCAGTTAGTGTGTACTAAGGAATGAAAATCCAGACTCATTATTCCAACAGATGTTCATCACCATTATTGCTCCACAAAGGCTTACCAACAAAGACTGCCTGCATCAGAGGGCTTTAGCTAGACAATGCAACCAAATCCTTGTTACCTCATCTAGCTAAGGTGGAGGGCAGAGCCCTTTAGGAAGACAGCTTAGAATTCTCTTCAGTATCTGAAAAGGCCAAACAAACAAACATCAGAATAGAGATGGCCTGGAGCAGCATTATTAAGATGAAAAATGTAATATGGAACAAAAATAGGAAATTGACCTTGAGAATGCATTTTGTATGGTGTTATATATATTCTTGATGAAACCCTGTGGCGTGGAATCACCTGGTTTAGGGGAGAACACTATAAAAAGATATCAGCATGAAAAATGTGGATTTATCACAGGATGTTAAGGATGCTCTGCCTAAAGAGGTTCACTGGTGAAGAAATGCTAAACCTAACGAACAAAGACCAAGAGATGCAGAAAATAGAATGCTTCATTCAGGTAGTGCAAAGCAAAAAGTACAGATGGTTACAGACAATCCATCAAGAAATAAAAGTGACCAGAAAGAAGGATTTAGTAGTTAAGGAATCTGGATGACAGGTTTGGATGCAACACAATAGCATCTAGCTTCAGGTAATAAACAACAAGAAGAGGAAACTAAATCTTTCCTTTTCCCCTCCCTCCCTCCCTCTCATTGGCTAGCATCCTGTTCATGCTGGTCGGGCTGAGAAAATAACTGGGCCCAGGTCAGCCAGTAAGTTTCATGACAGAGTTGGGGGTTTGGAGCCAGGTTTCCTGAATTATATTAGGCATCCTTCAGTCTCGAAAGACTACGGTAACATGCTCTGTATGGAGGACTTGGGACAGCGTCTAGTGTGGCTGAAGAGGCCAATTCGAGAGTGACAATCCCTTCCACACTTAGGACAAATACAATCTGTCCCCTGTCCAGCTCCCTGATTTTGCTGCTTTCATGACTGCCTCTTTGCCTCGGCCTGCTGGACAAGTGTCTTTTCAGATTGGGAGAGGCCATGATACAATGCCTGCCTCCAGGCTGAATGCTCACATGTCAAAGTTTCCCATCTGTTGAAGTCCATTCCTAAGGCCTTCAGATCCCACTTGCAGATATCCTTGTATCGCAGCTGTGGTCTCCCTCTGGGGTGATTTCCCTGCACTAATTCTCCTTACAGGAGATCTTTTGGAATCCGACCATCAGCCATTCTCACGACATGCCCAAGCCAACGTAGACGTCGCTGTTTCAGTAATGTATACATGCTAACAATTCCAGCTTGTTCTAGGACTACTCTGTTTGGAACTTTGTCCTGCCAAGTGATACCAAAAATGTATCAGAGGCAACATATATGGAATGTGTTCAACTTCCTCTCCTGTCGTACACAAAGGGTCCAGGACTCATTGCAGTACAGGAGTGTGCTCAGGACACAGGCTCTATAGACCTGGATCTTGGTATATGCCATCAGCTTCTTATTAAGCCATACTCTCTTTATAAGTCTAGAGAACATGATAGCTGCTTTGCCAGTGCATTTATCCAGCTCGACATCTAGGGAGAGAGTGTCAGAGATTATTGAGCCAAGGTATACAAAGTCATGAACAACCTCCAATTCTTCTGTGGAGATGGTAATAGAGGGAGGTGAGTCCACGCCCTGGCCCATGACTTGTGTTTTCTTCAGGCTGATAGTTAATCCAAAGTCTTGGCAGGCCTTACTAAAACGATTCATGTGTTGTTGGAAGTCTTCAGCAGAGTTGGCAACAATGGTTGCATCATCGGCGAAGAGGAAGTCCCGCATGGATTTCAGCTGGACTTTGGTCTTCGCTCTCAATCTAGAGAGATTAAAGAGCTTTCTGTCTGATCTAGTCCAGAGATAGACACCTTCTGTTGCAGTTCCAAAGGCGTGCTTCAGCATAACAGCAAAAAAGATCCCAAAAAGGGTCAGCGCAAGGATACAGCCCTGTTTCACTCCACTTTGGATGTCAAAGGGATCTGATGTTGAGCCATCAAAAACTATAGTGCCCTTTATTTCCTCATGAAAGGACCTGATGATGTTAAGGAGTCGAGGTGGACGTCCTGAATTATAGTCACTATACTAAACCACTATGCTACCCTGACTCTTGTTATTCTATATTGCATTTTGGATCCTTAATCTTTTGTGTTCAGACTTGCCACATTCATATCTTATTTTAAATATAAATCATGCCTTGTCAAATTGTAGGTGTTTTCTCCTAACCCAACAATCCACACAAAGATTATCTTCACTCAGATAAAAGATGATTATCCCATGTTTCTAGGTTTTCAGCAGTTCTGTTTTACAGTTCAGTGTGCTAGCTAATTGTGTTTTTTTGAGAACCTTGGGATTGTACTTTAATAATTAAATTCCAAGAAATGGTACCTCTACAGCATCTTCTTGGGTTTTTTGTTAGGTTCAGCATTTGTTGGGTGTTTTTTTTTTGCTAATATTGTTGAAAGTTGAATAAAATGATAATCTCTATGATTCATCATTTTATGAATGTGATTTCCTGCAAGGAGATGAGAGCAATATACAGGAAATGAACAGTAATGGGATTTTGCCTTGGTCACCCACTGTTTCTTCCTTAAGAGCCCTCTGAGGAGTCATTGACTGCTTACTTTTCTTTCTCCAGTGAAATAGCAATGGAATAACACAATATCCACTTCACTTTAAGAATGATAGATCCAGATGTGTTCTGTTGCAGATCTGATTTTTGGTAAAATTCTTTCTTTCTTTCTTTCTTTCTTTCTTTCTTTCTTTCTTTCTTTCTTTCGTTCGTTCGTTCGTTCGTTCGTTCGTTCGTTCGTTCGTTCGTTCGTTCGTTCGTTCTCTTTGGAATACAGTAGAAATACAGAGACTCATAGAGAAGAATAGTGTCAAATTCCCCATGACATCCCACCTGCTTTCAGTGCCACTCTTGGGAAAACACAATGCTTATTGACTTCAGTTGGAACAGAGTTTTTAAATTTGATTTTCAGCTCAACAGGACGAACCATTTACATGTTACCTGAGCAAATTGGCAAAGGCGCAAGGTGTTGCTTTTATGTATGTGGAGGACCTTCCTGGATTGGAACCACATTGTATTATGGATGAAGGGAAGGGCAGCATGAAGAGGGTTCTTCCCAACATTGAAAAAGAGGGCAGTTTTTCAAGAAATAAACCATTATTCCTTGCATGAATCCCTTGCTCCTCTGTACATTAATTGCCAGAGCAAAATGGAACTTTAGATAGATTTAGTCATTAAAAAACTGGTTCCTTTACTTTTCTCTCAGGTCATGTACACATCACAGATTTCAACATTGCCACAGTGCTCAATAAAGAAATGAAAGTTGCCACCATCGCTGGTACAAAGCCTTATATGGGTGAGTAATCGGACAAGATTTAGGCTACAGGTTATTTATGTGATAATCATTGCGTGGAATATCTTGTTTCAAGGGATGCAGAGGAACATTTTAATTCTGGTCCTGGCCAGATATGAAAGCAACCTAAAAAGATGAAAGGCCTATTTGGGTAATATTTCATGGCAGATCTGATCTTACATGTGGAGTCAGTGCAGTGGCTCCCTCTCCACGCCCACCCATACGGCCTGTTGAAAAGCCACCTCAAGGCATAAAATCCTACAAGACTAAAGGAAAACTAAGGAGCCAGTTCCTCGATTTGTAGCCATAGCCTGCAGTTGAAGGGACTGTTCTCATATGGATTGTCAAGGCAGACCAAGTACAATGGCATTACATACTGGACTTGGTCAGACCTTTGAAATGCGATCCAGAAGAACCTCAAAGGTACAAACAAGAGTACAAAGTTTTCAATGAATCCTTTCTAAACTACTGCCACTGCCTGTCCCTTCATTGTTGATTTGAATTATAGCTAAGTCATGGCTGTAGGTTTCTGAAATTTAAAAAGCTGTCCATTGTCAGCAGTTTTTTCTTTAATATGCCTGTTAAAGAGATGGGACAGAGATAAAAAGAAGCAACCAGTAGACATCAGTTATTTGGTACAATTCTATTTCTTGCGTGTTTACTAGGTAATGGTCTTCCACTGTAGGAGTCAGTGTTGGTGGCAATATCTCCCCTGATATTTAATCCAAAACAGTGACAGTCATGAAATTTGTGAAATAATACTGTATTTTGGTTAGTTTGAATAACTGTTAAGACATTATCGTGTGAGTGTGCAAGCACTTTCCCCTAACAAATGCAAGTATTGTTTCCATGCCTGAGAATAAAATGGAAGGCTTGTTTCATGCTTTCTGTAGTGATGATGCACTTGATGTAACAAAACTGCATGAAACACTTAGCCAACCTGTTAATGCCCGTACAGAATCAGAGAATGTAGACATGATGAGTCAGTTCCCTAGGTGCACAGTACTTTTGTGCAATTTCTGAACTGCCATGTATGCCTGAAGAAGGTGGCAGAAATCTTTTGATTCCCATTTTCTTGACTGTCGATTTTTATTGCCATGGGGACACCAAATGAAAGGATCTGTTCTCACGTTACAATTATTTTTCTGCATTAGTAATTAGGGACAGATGCATTGATAGCTGACCTTCTGTAGATCAGAAATGCTGACAAAGTAAGAGTAGCATCATGGCATGGCCTCACTGTTGTCCAGGTAGCAGGCAATATAGATATCAAGTGGGGTTCACTTTCCTCTTTACTGAGGAAGGATATACTCCTTAGCTGTCTCAACAGGTACGACAGGCTTGAAATCAGAGCCTAGAAAACTCACAGTAGAACTGGTTGCAGTTCTATAGTATGACTGCTACTTAAAATGCCTTCAGCAGCATTCCAGGTAGCAGGCAATATAGATATTAAGTGGGGTTCGCTTTCCTCTTTACTGAGGAAGGACATACTCCTTAGCTGTCTCAACTGGTACGACAGGGCTTGAAACCAGAGCCTAGAAAACTCACATTAGAACTGGTTGCAGTTCTATAGTATGACTGCTACTTAAAATGCCTTCAGCAGCATTTACTGTTTGGGAGATAATTTTGGAATCTGTGCAAGAAGAACATCAGCATTCCATGCATGCAAGTATACTACAGTCAAGGCCCTGTGCTCAGAATTTTAAGTTCAATAAATTAGTGCGATGACTAAAACCTGAATAACGCTAAGGCACGTGCTTATGCACACCACCACAGATGTATGAAGGCCTCTAACAAAGGTAAAATAGGGACTGTTCCTGATAAATAAGATATCTGGGCTTGAACCGTGACAGCTGACAGAAGAGAGAGCAAGATATTCACAATTGTGTCAGTTGAATCAAAGCCACAAATCAGAGCTGAAAGATTTGTAAAGGTTTTCCCCGCACAAACAAACTGTTAAAAGATGGGAGTCCTTTCCAGTCCTTCTTGTCCAAATGACTAGCCTGTCAGTAAAATGCCAGTCCAGAACACAAGCATATTTCACTCCCTAGAGCAGAGGTAGGTGACGGGTGGTCCTTCATTTGTTGTTGGGCTTTGGCTAAATCCTTGATTATGGGGGTGGATGAGAACTTGAATAGAAGAACACCTGGAGGGTCACTTGTTCCCACCTGGTCTAGCAACATGGTCCAAGCTGTTGTTCTGTGAATCACCATGTGGGACAACTGCATTCAGATTGAGAGAACCCAAATTCTACCTCCAAGGGCTCTTGACCTGAGGACATCCGCATGTATATTGTAGTTTCAGAATGAATATTTATAATGTACCAGCCAAGTCTAACAAGTATTCTGATACGATTCTGTCATAAAGCAATCACAATTTCTCTATTTTTCAGCTCCTGAGATGTTCAGTTCTACAAAACCTATTGGCTATTCCTATGCTGTTGACTGGTGGTCATTGGGCATTACAGCCTACGAACTTCTTAGAGGCCGGGTACTGTACAATCAATTTACACATGTTATTCACCTTTACATCCATTAATCAATCCCATTATTTTCTGTTTTCTGGAAATGTTTGCTCTCTGGATCGGCATTCCTTGTATAATGGGTTCATTAAAATTCCAAAGAATCCACTTCAGCCTAAAAAGCAAATTATCTTACTGACTGATGCACATTCCAATCATAGAAGCTGTCATAGAGGCTGAGGAACTGCAAGGAGCCAAATCCATCTCTATTTTACAATTACAGAACAATCCTGTGGTTTGAGGAAGATATGGAGTGCTGTGTGTGAATTAGCAATCCAACGCATTTCATGCTTCAGCATGCCTTGGTGGTAGATTGAATTGCAACATATTTGCAAAGTTTTGTGTGTGTCGTCTAGAAAGCTTTTAGGTTCAGTCCAATAGATAGGCAAAATGGGAAGTTTCACAGTACCAGAACTACCTAAAAGAGTGTACCAGAGTGTTTTTGTTTCTGTTTTTTTAAAAAACATTTTGAAATATTTTGTCACACATAGGTAACAACCTACTTTAGAATCTTTCAGTCAGTTTGGATTGCAGTTTGGTTGCAGTTCTGGAGAGTTATCTGACGCTTTGGGTGAGGTTCACGTTACACGGAAATTTTTCGAACTTTCAACTGAGGCTGTTGATCAACTGGCACTACCTACAGCCTAGATTCAAGATGCTTGCGTGGGCACCTGAGTCATCATCTGTTCTAGAAATGTTGACCAGCCTCCTGGCTGTACATGTGGACCTTATTTTTCTTACAGCCTTTTAAAAGAGCAAGTAGGGTATTTAACACCTTTCAGTCCTGGTACAAATATGGTACAAAATGATGTGACACTTTGATAGTACCATCCTGTGATCCATGGGAAACCTTCGTGCACAGTCAGAGTCACAGTTTGGGGGCATGGATCCTGCTTCTCTCCTCCTGTGGAAAGAGCTGTTCCTCTTGCATCTCAGTCAAAGCTTTGTTACTATTGAGGAGAAAGGATCAGAGGTAACAGAGCAGGGGAGTTTCTGTACCTCCATATCCCAAAGCCCTCTCTGGAGTTTCATATCTCCCAACAGGTTGGAATTTCAGATCAGCAGTGGGAAGAAAATGGCTTTTAAAAAAATACACGGGAGAAAGTGTGGCAAACACCACTCATCGCACTGCCCTTCTCCTTCTCTGTGATTCCCCTCCACTTTATAAAGCTGAAGCACAATTCCTTCAGAGTATAAGATGCTGCTATATTTAGTGCCAGCCTTTTACCGTTGGCCCTGCCTGCTATTCTTGAAACACCTCTCAATATGCCTGTGAAACCAAACGCAAGTGTCAGGCTGGAAGTGGGTCCTGTCCCTGTGTGAAACCATTGTTGAGTTCGCTGTTGCCCTTTCTCTTCCGGTTGCAACCACAAGTAGAAGTTTTGAAGTTTTCCTTCCCTTTGCGATTAACAACAACCTGTAAAGTTTGAGCAAGACTGCTGTTAAGATTAGCTACAAAGGGTTTTTTCTCTTCCTTGTGAAGAGATTTACACTCCAACTTCAGGAAAATAACACCCATCACTGGCCATTCAACAGACCCAGGATCTTATCGCTTTCTCCACATTTGAATCTGCATCTTACTATCAACAATACTTCTCAGAAAACCCGTTCAGACATCTGGAATGTAGATCCCAATTTAAATGACCCGACCAGATAGGCGGGATATAAATAAAATAAATAAATAATAAAATAAAATCCTGGGTTCTAATTAATTCATTACATGATGATCCATGCAGTGTTGCAAACTGATACTTCATCTTCCCTGCCTGGTGTTTCAACTTTCTGTCCATCCATCTTTCCTTTCAACTTGATTTGCTAGTATGGACAAAAATTGTCAAGGGGAACCTTTACCTTTACCTTTACTTAATTAATTCATTACATGATGATCCATGTAATGTTGGAAACTGATACTTCATCTTCCCTGCCTGGTGTTTCAACTTTCTGTCCATCCATCTTTCCTTTCAACTTGATTTGCTAGTATTGGTCAGTATAAAAACCATACAGATGCTTGGTTTGTTGAAGCAAGTCTATTTAATTTTAAAAATTGGCATCTTTGAAAACCAGATCAGACTAACCACAGTGCAGCTTAGACATAATGATAAATTAGTTTTAAGCTAAAACACAAGGGAAATCTCCTCTCCATAGCAGCATCAGAGAACTAGGCATTGTGTGCAAACCTGAAACATGGCCAGGCTCATTTACATAATAGAAAACAGTGGCTTGAAATTAAATGCTAACCAGGTGAGTTGTGTGCTAACAAAACAGGATATTATGAATAAATAAATGCTTTCTGTGTGGAGGAGACACACCAGAAATACGAGGAGCATGGATAACATTTCTAGCATACAGCAAAGTGTTCCCAAGTCTAAACTTAAAGTGAAATATATTTTCCTTGAGTTTGCTCATCTCCATATGTGAATGTGTTACGTGCTGGAATAATGTATTTGCCCTGGGCTTTCGACTGGGTGCTGGCTGCGGAGCCAAAAGTTGAACGTTTGATTCCCCCTATCGTACCTCCCAGGAGGAGAGAGAGTCTGCGTGGCCTTGGGCAAACGGCACAATCTTGGGATGCCCCCAGAAGAAGGAATAATAAGCCAACTATTCTCTACACAGAAAACCACTGAAAAGAGTTGCCGGACTTGACTTGACGGCACACAATTATTATTATTTATTGTTTAAATAGTCCCTTTTCAACCTTCGTTTAGATTCTTCCTGGCTTAGTTTCTTCATGAAACTGTTATTTACATACTATTATGCTAAAAACATCTAAATGGAGATTGAAAAATATGTTGTATACACTAGTGCTTTACTTCATAAGTACACTGCATTTCCAGTTGTACACTTTCTTCTACAAACCTGAGACCTGTTACTCAAAAGTCAGAGCTACTTCAAGGACTTCGCCGGTTGCAAGCTCTGCCGCTCACACTGTTTCCCATCAATCATAGAATTATCAAATAACTTCTCGATAAGGCTGTCAGCTAAAAGTCTGAAAGTCAGAAAGCTTTGAAACAGTACTCCAGTGACATACAGGAATGGACAACCTGAGAAATGGCATAGCATGCCAAATCTTTGGTGTACTTGGTACTTCATAGCTTTTCACTGTACTGGAGTGAATCATCTATCTTTCCTGCAGAAACTTCTTGCTCAATTAAGTGATGGAAATGAAGGTGTTTTTAAATTGTTCTGAATTGTTAATATGCCTTAAGCTTCACTGTTCCCTGGGGCTCTTTCTTCTGTCTTCTTCACCTGTGAAGACGTATTGTAGAGGTGCCCAACTCTTCAGCAAATGGGCCGTAGATCTAGCCCAAAGTAAAAGACTTGCTCCCTCTACTGCATTTGTATATACCCACCTCTTAGTTGCCTAGGACTTTTCTTCGTAAATGAGCAGCAACATGGTGCTGAAGAGGAACACTGAATCCTGAGCCATAACCAAAGCTGCAGCTCCCGGCTGCCTATATCACTGGTTGTATCTATGCCATGTTGTTGGCCACCCACGATCTGAGGGACTATTTGAAACAGTCCTCTGTAGTTGCACTTGGTCTGCCATAGGTTGGTGGGTCAGACTGAATAGAGCAAGTCATGCTGCTGTACCAGTGTACTTTGTTTGACTGGGCTGAGTTTCCTTCAGTATGTATTGAGGCTTGATTAAATGGCATTCTACTAATTGGATGAAACAAAGTGGCTTTTTTTTTCAACTCACAGGAAATACTAACGGGAGCATTTCTCAGTGCTAGTGGTATTTTTTAATAAGTGCAGCAAACAATAAGTGAAGTAAGCAGAGAAATACAGCCTTTAAAAATTTCAGGCGACATTAAAAGGACATCTGTATGCACGCAGAGATAGAAGTAAACTGATTTCCTGTGAACCCAGGCTGTGCTAGTGAAATGCCAGCTGGATGACAGTGCGAAGCCTTGATCGCTCCCTCTCCCTTTCATTTTGCTTTCTAATGTAACTTTGTTCTTGTTGCCCTCGCCTGCACTGATCTATTTATTTCAATCAAATTAGGCTCCCAGTTCAATGGAGAAGGACAGCGGGCCTGCGGGTGGGAGGCTGGGCAAGAACTCTGGGAAAGCAGCACAGTTGAGGTTCGGTACAGAGGCCGCTTTCAAACAATGTCTAAAAGAGATAATTTGTTTTTTATAGTTGCTGTAGGGAATTTGTTTCAAAATTGCGTGCTCTGCTTTCTTCTTCTTCTTCTTCACAGAGGCCCTATCTAATCCGCTCAAGTAGTGCTACAAATGAAATTGCCCACGTGTTCAAGACAGCTGCCGTCATGTATCCTGCCGCTTGGTCAAAGGATGTGGTGTCACTGATTAAAAAGGTGGGTCTGCTTTGCGAACACGTTCATGCCGAGAAAGAAAAGGTTGTTTGCTTTAAAGCTTTGTAGTTGAATGGAAGCCCAATGCAAGTGGAACAATGCGTTCCATGAGGTGTGTGGTTGCCCCCATGACTCATCTCCCCCCCATACTCCTCAGGAGCACCTGTTAGTACAAAGTGTGTGGTTTGATCGTATAATGCTCTCTGTTTCCACATGCTTCATTCATGGTACGGCACTGGGTCTCACTTTTAGAAGTGGGCAAAAAAACTCAAGAGTGCAATCATATCACATCATGCATTTTGTATTACTTGATTATGGATTTGATTACTAGGAGAGGTATCTAGCTTGACGTGCTAAGAAAGGTGATACTGCAGGCCACAGACAGAGTCTAGTTAACTAAAATTAAAGGATCCATATTAACAGCAGAATGGCCCAGTAGTGCATGTACCTGCATTTCACAGTTCAGGTGATATAAGATGGAGATGGGCACACGGAAATACATTCTCTTTTATTAGTATAGATTTCTTGTGGATATTAATATACTATGGATATTTATAGACTGTCGTTTAGTAATGCTCCCAAGAGGGAAGGGAGGTACGGAGCTACTGGCTTCAGTGATAGACAGTAATTCTGCCAAAAATCAAAAGAGAAGTGAGTTTGTTGTTGTTTTTTTAAAATACATTTTATTTTTTGAAAGGCCTTCCAGGTACCCTGTTTCCCCTTTGGCAAAGTGGCAGTCATGCTTCTATGGAGATGTTCACTTTACATCATTTATTCATAACAGCGATTCACTTATTTCCACATGCTGGAACTCTGGCTGGTTGGTTGCCAGCGTAGATGTTTTCACCAGCAGGAAAGTTCTCGGATAACGCGCCAACAGCTAGTCCTTATCAAAGTAGAGATAGGAGTGGGATGAATTTTTGAAAAGTCTATTTCTTTTAGCTGCTTGTTCTGCATGGGTTGCTTGTCACAGATCAGATGATATCCTGCCATCAAAGAAATTGCAGTGCTTCACCACTGTGAATTTTTATTTCCAGTGAATCTATTCAATGTGATGGGAAACTGATTGAAAAATACAACTCATATTTATTTTGTTAAATATGCTTTATTATACATAATATCTGGTTGCAGGAATTACAATCCAATCTTTTTATACCAGAAATGTGTGTGTGTATATGTGTGTCCTGTGCCCTCAAGTTGGAACCAAAGTATAGCGACCCAAATAGGGCTTTCAAGATAAATGAGATATTTAAGGAGTGGTTAAACCAGTTCCACTCCCCAAGTGCATTTCTGTGGCCAAGTTGATATTTGAACCCTGTTTCCCAGAGCCCTGTCCACTACACCACACTGAGAATCATACCAGATATAATACGTAGCAGAAATTAATTTTGCATCTCTGATAAGTATGTTCCCAGGAGTAAACCATTAATGCTGTCCAGATATGGAAAATTGCTATATTAGTTTTCCCATACAGTTTACCTCACACAAAGCCTGCATGAATATAAATGAAGTTATCCCAAACACATTTAGGGAAATAGAAATGTCAAGACTTACAATGCTGTCCTATGGTCCCTGAAAGAGTGTCCCAGGAAAGATAGGATATCTCCCCTCTGAATATGGAGAAGCTGGCACTCCAACACTGAGAGAGGCGAAAGCAGGAAGATTTGAGGTGTGTCATGTGTAGACCATCAACTGCTTTGGACATTCACGATCCCAAGCCATCCTGGTTTCAGAGTATGCCCCTAATACAGGGGAACTTGAAGACCAGCCCTACAGCTAGTCTAAATGATTTCCTTCCTACCACTCTTAACTCTGCTTTGTCAGCAGGAGCCTGATAGAATTCTAGGTCAGATCACCACCTAATTAAATGCAGCCTCACAGGGCCACTTCCCTCCCGCGGGGAGCTTGGACCCATTAAGAAGGTCTGCCCCCGCAGGTTACTGGATTCTGTTGGATTCCAGGACTCCATGCGAGGGATACTGATTGATCTGGCTGGCACTCTTGTTGAGGCTCTGGTTGACAGTTGATTTGGTGACAAGAAACTCGACTTCCGTCTGACTTGGTTGGTGCTCCTGTCAATGCTCTGGTGGATGGCTGGTATACTGCCACCACCAGGGCGGTCGACACGATCGCACCTAAACGCCCTCTCCACCGTTGAGCCTGGCCAGCCCCCTGGTGTCACCAGCAGTTCAGGCCATGAAGTGTAATTGGAGAAGGCTAGAGAATATTTGGAGAAGGGCCCAGACGGAAATTAATTTAAAAACCTTGATCCGTTCCAGTCGGGCTTCAGGCTGTGGCATGGTACACAAACAGCATTGGTCACCCTGCAGGATGACCTCCTGAGGGAGGCTGACAGGGGCAATATGTCCTTGTTGGTCCTCCTTGATAGCTCAGCGGCCTTTGATACTGTCGACCACGGTATCCTCCTGGGGCGGTTCTCCAAGCTACGGATCAGTGGCCTCGCTTTGGCATGGCTCCGTTCCTTCTTAGGGGACCATCCCCAGAGAATGCAGCTTGGTGAGATGACTCACCCCGTGTACTTCCACCCCAATGACTTCCACCCCATCGATCATCTCGCCAATGCTAATTAATATCTATATGAGGCCTCTGGGTGAATTATCTGGAATTATCTGGAATTATCTGGAATTATGGAGCTCGGTGTCATCAGTACACTGATGACACAAGATGGAAATCTTGCGCATGGGTGGCTCAGTGGGTTGGGAAACTCCCTTTCCTTTGGGGGAGGAACTGTTCCCATGAAGAATGAGGTTTGTAGCTTGGGTATCTATCTGGGCCAGGATCTCACCATGGAAACGCAGGTGACAAGAAACTCGACTTCAAGTTTATGATGATAACATTCAAAGCCCCAAACAGTTTAGGGCTTCAGTATCTAGCAGAATGCCTCCTCCCAGACAGATCTGTCCATAATACCCATTCTTCACAGGCAGGGCGGTTGAGGGCCTTGACCCCAAAGGAGGCTTGGAGGGAAAGAACAAGAAGCCTGGCCTTCTCTCAAATGGTTTATCCTACTGATTATTGTATCTGTTGAATGTTTGTATTATTTTATTCTTGTTATGTTTTAATATTGTGTTGTTTGTCTTGTTGTTAGCCGCCCAGTGTGGCTTGGCTACCAGGCGGTGCGGGGTATAAATCTAATAAATAAATATACCAGAAGTTTAAAATGGTTGTGATAGGTATCCTATGTACACTTCCTTTGGAGTGTGTGTAGTGTCGAGAAACCATCTTGTTATGAATAGAGATTGGCACAAACCCAACTACGAACAGGAAACAAACATGCACCAGGTGTGGGGGGTGGGTCTTACATTATTGCCCGTGGTGTGTGTGGTTTTTAAAATTGATGCATGCTGAGGTCTGCAGTAGTATTGAAGATGTGATGGACCGTTGGGCTATTAAGTTAAAAACACAGTGATAGAAAAGTAAGAAAATATCTGTTATGTTGTATTCCAAACTCTAAGGGAGGGGAGGAGAACAGAAGGCACAACAGTGTTACTGTCAGATGACATTTGGTCCTTGGTGGGCAATAGCAAATTAGCCCCACCCTTGTGGCAGCAAATCAGTAGGAACTGGTGGGGAAGAAATATTGTTCAGCCTGGCAATCATTTCAGTATGATTTGCTGTGTGGTTTTCATAGTGGCACTAAACAAGTTCCCACAAAAGGAACAGCAGTGGAAGCATGAATATCACCCACACAGTGGTTCCCAACCTTGGGTCCCCAGATGTTCTT